AGGGGCAGGCTTGGGGCAGCGTCGAGAGCCCTGCGGGGCTGAGACGCGCTGAGCTGCCCTGGTGCCCGGCCGTCCCAGCCGGAACGAGGCCTCACCCCGGCTTCTTCCGGCCTCCCCTCAGAGGGCAGCTCCAGGCACCTGCCGTGCGAGCGTGCTGGGCAGAGGCGGCGAGCGCCTGGCCCCGCCATCGGGCAGGGGGAAGGGCAGTAGAAGTTCCGCTGGAGGAATATGGGGAGCCCGGGGCAGTTCCCTAACCCAGCTCAAGGGCACCTGTCCTGGCTTTCAGGAGAGCAGTCACGGACCGCAGCGGGCTTGGTGGGCAGAGGGCGCCTGGCTGGTGGGGCAGCGTGTGCAGAGGCCGGGGGTGCTTGCTCCGGGAGGGCCCCGGCGAGGATCCGATTCGTGAGCTAGAGGCCTGGACGCAGGGAGTCAGCTGGGCCGAAGCGTGAGGCAGGGGTGGGCGGGGGCCGAAGCCAGCGGGAGCCCAGCAGGGGAGGGACTGGCGATGGGCACAGGGCAGAGGCTTTGCAGGGGCTGGGGAGGAGCCGAGTGCTCAGCTGAGGCCGTCTGGGGTGACACCCAAAGGACTGGCGGGTGGTGGGACCCCGACGCTGCGGAGAAAGCCTGCCGGGAGGGGGCCGTGTCTGGCAGAGGGACGGCCAGGCCACCGGAACTGGCAGCTTCGGTGCTGGCCAGAGAGGCCTGGGGACGGAGCACATGGCGCTGACCGCAGGACCGGTGGGCGCGGGGGAGGAGAGGCAGCCCGGGCAGCAGCCGGCGAGGTGGACGCAGGATGCCGCTGCTCTGGGAAGGGGACCGTGCGGGGGGGCAGGGGCTAGCGGTCACGGGCCCCTGCCCGGGGGTCCGTCCCTGGGACTGCACCGGGCGGGACAGCGCGGGACACCCCCGTCAGCCCGAGCAAAGGCCAAAGTCGCGAGGGCCTGGGGCTCCGTGCAGGCAGGAGTGCGGTGAGCCCCGCGTCCCGACAAGACCCAGGCTGCCGGGCGGGGCCGGGAGCCCGCCCGCGGCCGCTCGAGGGCGCCGACGCCAACCCCAGCGGGGCAGTGGGCAGAGGGGCCGCCCTGGGCGGGGACCCGGCGTGTCCAGCCCCAGGTGGCCTGCGAAAGGTGGATGGCCACAGCGCTGAGCCTGCTGGCGGCTCCGAGGCAGGAGGCCGGAGGCGCGGGGGCCTTGGCTCGGGGCTCCGCGGCCGGGTCTGTGGGAGCAGCTGGGATGGCACCAGAGCCATGGATGGCTGCTGGGTTGGGCAGCCCTGCTGTGGCTGTGGGCAGGTCCACTGTCCTAGAAAACTGCCCCTGGCTGCCACTGCGCCCTGATGAACGGGTCTCAGGGTGGCCTCAGCGCCCGCAGGTGGCGGGTGGCGAGGCAGGACACGCTAAACAGGTTGAGCGGTGCGGGGTGGCATCGGCGTGCAAGCTGGATGCCGCGTTTCCTCTGCCCTGGAATCGTGGTGCTGGCTTTTTGAGCGGCGAGCTGGGCGTCAGGAAGCGCACTGCCAGCGGGCATGGCCCTGTGCCCTGCCCCCGTTTCCCCATCAGCCAGCCCTTCGTGGGAACCTCTGCTCTTGTGCTCATGTAACTTTTACTTTTAAAAAATCTCCCTTAATCTATACACACGCTGGACCGTTCCGCCTTAGCAGGGGGTCTGCACAGCCGCCCTGGATGGGCCTGGAGGACGGACGCTCCAGGACAGTAGCCAGACACAGCGCACACCAGCCGTGTGAGCCGCTCCCAGGGGCCCGGGGTGCACCGGGCAGAGACAGGAAGTGGATGGTGGGAGCCAGCGGTTAGGAGAGAGCGCCTGATGGGGACGGAGTTTTGGTTTTACGAGGTGAAGACGTTCTGTAGATGGGTGGAGATTCGGGAAATAGTTGCACGATATTATGACTGTGCCGAAAACCCCCAATTGGTACGAGTGGTTGTGGTTAAGATGATAAATTTTATCTGTTTTGCCACATATTACAAAAAGGTGTAGTCAGCTTCAAGCTCACTCGTAGAAACAGGAAAACCCGAAACAAGCTGACCTGCTCTCCCTCCGCCCGGTTCCCTGCCTTTAAGAGCGCCCCGGAGCGCATCTTCACGGCCCCGTGTGCCGCCACGCAGGGGTGTGGCCCCAGACAAGCGAGAACTCTGGTGAAGGCTCTTCTCTCTTCAGCGATTGCTCTGCCCGTTCTGTCCTGTCCCTCCTGCCTCCCAGCCGCGTGCACGGTAGCCCTCTTGATGTTGCCTCGGAAGTTACTGAGAGCATCTGTTTTTTAATTGCCGCAAAATAGATGTCATAAAATTCACCACTTCAACCATTTTTACGCATGGAATCAGAAGCATTGTGTTCAGTGTGGCCCAGCTAGCGCCGGTCTCCACTCCCAGACGTACGTCCTTAGTCTCCAGTTTCCTCTTCTCCTCAGTCTGGATGCTTACTGTTACCTTCCTCCCAGCTGTTGACGCTCTGATTTGCCGTCAAGTCCACAAATGGCATTTTTATCACAAATACTTTTATTTTGCCTTTTTAGAATTTTCATATGGTTCATTCTTACCTATTTTGCTTCTCTGCTGAGGTTTCTTATTTTTCATTCATTTGAAGCTACTTTTTCTTTACACCCTTTAAGTTACTTTTAATAGCAATGTCGAAGTCGTTATCTGTTCCTTCCGAGTCTGAATCATCTCAGTCTGGCCCCATTCTTCTTTCTGGAGGATGAGTCATGTTTTTCTGTTTCTTCATATGTCAAGTAATTCTGGACTATATTCTGGACATTGCACAAGGTATGTTGTGGAGACTCTGGATTCTGTTGTATTGCTATGACGATAATTGATTTGTTTCTTAATTTACTTTTTTTTTAGATTTATTTATTCATACAGAAATGGGGTACAAGGCAGAGATACAGAGGGTGAGAGGATTCACCAGACACAGTGGGGAGCAGAACAGGCAGATCGAGGAAGTCCACTGCTGAGGGGAGCAGCGGGCGGGTCAGGAGAGGTCTGCC